TACTGCAATGCTCTTCTGGCTGGACTTCCATCAAGCACAATCAAACCTCTACAAATGATTCAGAATGCAGCAGCAGGACTGGTCTACAACGAGCCCAAAAGAGCCCATGTTCCATGCTCTCTTTATCTCCTTGCAATGGCTACCAGTTGCGGCTCGCATCAAGTTCAAGACATTGATGCTTACATATAGAACAATTCTAGTTTTAAGCAGTGTATTAGTAGTTAGTATGCTACACTTTAAGAAAAGTCTGTAAAAATAGGACACAATCTACTATGTTAATTCACAGTTTTTTTTACCTGCATTTTAAATTACGCATTGTATTTTGTGTTTTCGGGTTACAGGGTTACAACGGATAATGGATAACAGATAATGTCCTGGAAAATTACTAGTACCTTTATCATTTTTCTAGATATTTTTCTTACAGTGTACTAACTGATCAACAATCGCAGGTACAAGCTACTAACAAGGTGTATCATAAATGAACAATTATTAAACTATTATTATTATTATCAAATTGAACAATTGCAAATAGCAATAACTTAATTCATGTGAAGTGGGTACTGCTAGGCAACTTTGGTTTCCTCTTTTTGTTAAATTTAGATGGAAAATGTGTGCCTTTTTATTGTTTGAGTCACTTATCAAAAGTTGCTAAAAGTAGCCAAATAAAATTTTAAAATAGCTAAATTTGTTGCTAGGTGCTTTTGGAAGAAAAAGTTACTAGGGTAGTCTGAAAAGTTGCTCAATTTAGCAACAAAATTGCTAAGTTGGCAACACTGCAGCCGCCTACTCTCGCCTACATAAAAAAAATTATTTCTCTTTATTTATTCCTTCCCTTTCTAGCTTGTACTTATTTGAACAATGCCTAAAACTTCACTGTAAAAATTTGTTCTGTAAAAAAAACTGTAATGTGCTGGCAGCAGAGTCGCCAGCAATCTACTGTAATTTTACAGTATTCAAACTGTGAAATTTTAGTTTATTACCGTAAAAATGAAATACAGTATAATTCTGTTTTTTTTTTTTTACAGTAAAATACTGGCAGCAGAGTCACCAGCAATCTACTGTAATTCTACAGTATTCATACTGTGAATTATTTAACAGCTTTTTTCTGTAAAAATTAAATGCAGTACATTTCTGTGATTATTTCAATTTACAACATCATTATGGTTACTTTAAATTCACTCTTTATTGTACAAAGGCATAAAATAATGGATAGAAATAATTAGATTGAAGATTCATTACTTATTTAATGTATTTCAAATCTTTTTTAGATTTATTTTAAATCTAATGTTATTTTATGCCTTTGTAAAGAGTGAATTTAAAGTAACCAATGATGTTGTAATTAGATTTACAGTAGAACATTATTGTTCTGTGGGCTACACACATCTACTTAAAATACATTATATTGAAAGATCTAAAAAACAAGCACACACTTAAAAGATATAAATCAAAATAAAGTTTTATTTAAAAGAGCAGTCAACATTTAACAAGGATTCAAAACTAAAAAATGGCAAAATAAAAAATAAAAACCCCGGAGAAGACAGATTTTGCAAAAACTTAAAAATAACAACAATAAAAATAAAAAATGGCAATAAAATGGCAATAAAAAATAAATAAATAAACACAAACATAACAAAATAAGTTACAAACATGACAACCTGAGATTAAACACATTAAACATTTTAACATTTAGGAACATTTTTGGATCTGCACTACTAAGAACATGCAACAAATTTAGTGAAACATTTTAGTGAAAAAACATTTGTTCAGGATTTTTTCTGCACTTTATTAAACGTTCCAGTGAGGAGGCATGTGTACCTTTTAAAAGAGTCCTAGTCCTAGGTGAATGACTTTGTCATTTTACACCCACTTAACCATGACGACCTAGCTGCATGGTATTCCAACTGGTACCTCTGTAAAATATCAGCAAACAAAACATTTGATCAAAATAACTCTAGAATTGTCAATGTAGAGATAACAAGGAGATTGCTGATAGTGTTGACTAACAAAACGCTTCCTGCATGTCTCAAGTCAACTAAATTTTCCATAACACTGCTACTTCCATAACAACTTTTTTTTTTTACACGTTTCTACTGTTCAGATTCACTGAATGGTCCTAGAATTCTGAAGTGAAATAAAGCAGCATACACGATTGCCATACAGTTGCTCAAGGCAGTCAATTCCATGTGATCAACATTTTGAATAAGTGTTTACACTAAACATCCTTTGATATTCGGCTAAAATACGTCCGAAAGAAGACAAGTATAATGGCTGATTTTGGTTACAACCCGTATCAATCTTCGCACCTAAATTTCTAACCGCAAATCAAGTTATCAAAATATGTTTTTGCTGTAAATAATAAACACTAAAACTATTCTCCTTTTAAACATGCCACCTTTAAACTTACATTAAATAATCAACATTTCATACACCAAGTTTGTTTAGTGATTCGTATGGAATTTGAAGCCATTAACAATGGGCAACAGATTGTTAACTGGCCATTTTTTAACAACGACTAACAGTCTTAAAAGTTTAGAGATGATCTAAAACAAACTTGATAAAACCTGGTGACTGTAAAATGCGTGTAATGTTTGAATTAACGTTAGGCTACTCACATTTCAGCGCTGAAGAGACATTTTAAAACTGATAAAATCTGGTGACTGTAAAATGCTTGTATATGTTTGAATTATTCACACATTTTAGCGCTGAAGAGACGTTTTATAATTGATAAAACCTGGTGACTGTAAATGCGTGTAAATATATGTTTGAAATATTCACAATTCAGCACTGAAGGGCCATTTTAAAACCATACACTCACTAGCTCGACAGTTTGCTGAGCACCGATTTGATAGCATTACTTCTGGTAATACTACCTGAATAAAATACTGGTGAGGAATATAAGAAAATGTTTTTACCATGTAGGTGCAGATGCAGGTCAATGCAGTTGAAGGACTTCGGATGGCAAATGGCGATGTATAGCAGATGTCCTTCGAACTTGTGTCCTCTTCGGGAAAAAAGTGCTTTTTAAATGATGTTTGTAAAAAATTGTCATCCCAAGTACCTGACTGAACATGATTTTGGATGCTTGAAAATGGCAAATTAACCAAACTGACAAAACAGTAACACACTTTGAACAAACTTGTACTCGCACTTGTACACCCAATTAAAAAAAAGATATATATAAAAATACTGCATTGTACTGTATTTAACACAGCCCACAATGCATTGCAAACAGTAAAAAAACGTATTACTTAAATACAGTAGAGTACTGTTAAAAATTGGCTGTAAATTAACAGCAATTTCTTAAACGGCAAAATATTGCCCAGAATGCATTGTTTTCTACAGTACATTACTGTTTTAATGGAAAATAGTATTTTACTGTCAGATTTTGGCCGTTTTTTTTACAGCAATTTTTTACAGTGTGTATTTTAATTTAAAAAAGTAAGTTTTACAAGAAAGTATTACAGTCTTTCTACTTTTCACATGATTCACAGTTTTTTTTTCTCA